AGTGTTTTTCTTTCCAATAGCAATAAAATTTGCTGTAAAAATATACATAATTTAAGTGAATTCAGCAGAATGACTGGACTAGAGAAAATAAAATTAATTATTCATGTCACCAATCTTCTAAAAATGTGGAGTGTTTATCAGGAGCACAAACAATTATAAGTAATGCTGTTATTTTTTAATAATGAAGCCACAGCTAAAGTTAATTAATACTTTTAATAAAAATAGAATTTTGTTCTTTGAAGTTGCAAAATTTATTTTATTAGCTCTAAATGTTTTTCATGGAAATCTGTGTGTACCCTGCTTATATTTTTCAAACAAATAGTATTTATTTTTTATGAGTACCTCCAAACCCTCCAGGAAGCAATAGCAGTATCCAATATATATACATACTCTTTCCTTGCTTGAACACTAATTGAGTTTTTTTTTTTTTTTTTTTTCCAGAAAACTCCATTGGGAATCAAATACCATTGATGTTAACAGGATGTCTCAGATGTGAAATATAGGTCTCTGACAACCTACCACTAACATTTTTAAATTCTCAATAGTTCCTTTCCTTGAGTAGATTTATGAAATCCACCCTGAACAAATGTATAACTACAACCAATACATTTCACTCATTATTTACCGATTTTGCCCCACTCTATAATTTCATTTCTTACCAAGAGTTGCAAACTCTAGTCCCTCCAGTCAAACACCAGAATCTCTCAAAGCCTTATCTCTCTCTCTTCTCAAGATTTTTGAAATGAGATGAAAAGAAAATGAAAAAGATTATGGATTCTAAAAACCAGGTAAGGATACCTAGTCAGTTTCTGCTTTGAATATAAAGGCTAGGGCTTAACGTTTGTTATTCTTATGAAGTATAATTTTCTCGCAAAGGTAAATTTTATATATGCTGTAAAGTAGAGTGCAATATAATTTATAGACCATGATGGGATGCTTCTGGGAGTTACAAAAGATGCTATCAATAATTACATCCGAATACCAGGTACACACAGGAACTATCTGGGCCATCTGGGTTGCATGACCATCCTATGTAAAAGTCAGGGGTAAAATTTATGCTTTGTTAAATAATCATGAAAAGACCTAATTAATGATATGATAGAGCTGAGTACAACTCAAGAGATCTTTAATTTAACCCACTTACTTTACAGAGGCAGCAAGGACGAAGTTCAGCAAGGATAACCAACCTGTTCAAGTCACATGACAAGGTTGGTGGTTTATGTTGAGATGCAAACCAGGTCTCCTGATTCTCTATGCTCTTTCCATTAGACCTCTCTCTAAGGTCTAATGTACATTACTAAGGCTCCATATTCTCTACAGTATGTATATATAGCTTGGAAAATATTCTTGAAAGAAAGAACCAAAAGATCACAAAATGTGATACAAAGGATGTGTCAGAAGAAATGTTAAATCTTAATCATAAGAAAAACAGCATAATTCCTCTTTCCTTTCTATAGAGACTGGCAAACAAAAGGAGTGAATGCTGCCCTTGGCATGTAGGCTTACTTTTACTTATTTATATAAAGATACATATACACCATACATATTGCCAGATTATTCAGAAGAAGAATGAACACTTTGTAGCCCAAAATCTTGCATGACACTCCTCCCCCCACCCCCAAGAAACTCACAGCATTCCAATAAACTTTATATCATTATTTTTGCAAATATTAGCTTTCTGAGAATAGCTTTATAAAAAATCTCTCTTTCTTAAGATGAGTGGGTTTTATGGAAGTATCTAAAAATTAAATATCCTAAGTAAAACAAGTTTTATAAACTTTATGTAATCCATACAAAAAGTAATATCGATATTGTTATATTCACATTAAAAAGAAGCCATTTCATCAGGAGGGTTGCTAAATGTCTGTATTATTTCATGATATAAATCACATCTTTCTAAAGTAAACATCAGTCTGAAAATTGATCATCTCTCAGAGAAGAAAAAAAATCCCTTTTTTCTTCCCTTCTTTCTTAAATTAAATTTTAAAGCATATTTAATTTTAAGTAGGAATGCAAACAGGACCATAGAAAGAATATTTTGGTAAATACTTCTTTATTTTCTGACTGTCAAAACCAAAAACATTTCTCCCCTACTACTTGCTCTGCAGGATGGCCGAACAAACCTCATCTCATCTACTGAAATGAATCCAATTTAATTCTGCTTGACCAAAAATCTGTTTCCATAGTTCTAAAACATGCAATCACCCCAAGGTACATTGCCATTGTAGCTTAAGTGGCTCAGTGTTATCACTGAGGAAAATACACTTTGATTGAGAAAACAGTCCAGGGTGGCTTTTGAAAAATGAAATGACCCTTCCTGGTACACAATTTAGTAAGGCAGTTGATAAAAGCAGGCAGATATGGCCACTATGGATGGAATTTAAAAGAAAATGCTTCATCCAATCTGTAAAAATGGGTCAAAGGTTACAGTCCTGAAATTAGCATTACAAATCACTCTCATATTGAAACTTCCTAGCTTTGTTTCTAACATAGAAGAAATACTTTAAATTGTACGTATATCAGTAATCTCTTTGTACTTAGGAAGCAATTTAAAAATCATTGTGAAGCAAAAATTTGCACCAAATTATCCTGTTTCTCAGAAAATAATATGCTTTCTTCCCTAATACATATATTGTTACCTGTAATCATGTATATCATATCTTTTAGATACCATTATAAAAGAGAATTTTAGAAATTATTAGTCCAACTTAAAAACACTGTTGCCACAAGTGAATATTTGTAACATATTAATCCAAATTACTTAATTGCTGTTACTAGTGTGTTAAAAATATAAAGCTTTAAAATGTCTATTTTTAAATGAAACTAGTAATCTTTTATTTAAGTCAATACTTCCTCAAATGAGCCAAGTAATCACTAATTGATTAGATCATTTACTTCTATAAACCACTGCTGTCTTTAAACATGTAATAGCTTATAATAAAAGAGACTCTTTTCATTGGCAATTAACGACCAATTAACTGTTTCCCTTCGCATTAATTAATATTGTAAAATATGTACATTCTTATTTCTGCATTTCTAGTTATTCAGCTTTTAAGTGAAAAAATTATTTTGTACTTTTTCAAAAAAAACAGTATTTCTTAATATATAGCAGTTACTAATTGATAAAATACATTTAAAATGCTGATAATTCTTTCCTTATTTTGGGATACATCTGGTTTACCTAGGAGCTTTGGCAAGTATAAGTTCATTAATGATGATACAAGACTGCAGGTACTCAGAAAAATACCTGATTATTTCAAATTATATTCACAGAAACATTTCCAACTCTGAATGTTCTAGAATATCCTCTAATCAATTATTTTATTTAAAGGATATAGCCCATCAATTCCTTTATGTTTCATTTTTCCTGTGTCAAGTTCACTTTAATAACCTTGTTATTGTTAACTGAACCGTAAGTCAACAACAACACATCATTAATGAAGTATTAGGAAAGAATATCAGATGGAGCTATCGTGCGAGCATAAATCTGTCTAAAGTCACAAGTCTTTATCCAAGGGGTTAAATGTTATGATATTATCAACAATCTTGTAAATCCAAAGATAGAGGAAATCAACAAAATGATAACACTCCAAGCAAACATTCCTACTTAAATCTACATTCCATGAAGGCAGAGGTTTTTGTTTGAATATAGGTGCATATAGGTGCAAAATATGCAATACTGTACTACATTTATGAATTTAAAGAATTAACAACTTTTTGGTCATCTCTCTTCTCCTATTCCTCTCACCCCTTCCTAATCACAAGAAAAATTAGAATCTATTTTGTCTTTTTTCTGGGAAATCTATATTAGTAGATATGGTGCTGACACAACAGAATTTGTCTTCTATTTCTTTCTTTCCAAAACTGATGCCCGATCTATTTCAGATACTTGAAGTAAAAGCAATTTCAAAAATAATTGTTGTCATTGTTGCTTCTTTAGAATGCAGTTTACTAGAAAAGTAAAGATTATATAAGTGGAAAAACCCTTATATGATACTTACTGAAGAAACTCACTATTAAAAACAAAATAAAATGAAACTATCAGTTTTGAACCAAGGAAAATGCACAATTCTGAAAAAACTAACGACTGAATATGTACAATGGTTATAAATGTCAACAGAGATCTAATAGCATTTAATAGCATTTTAACAGCCTCTAAAATAGCATTTTAACAGCATTTCATAGAAGGTTGTTTTCTGCATTCATTGATGTGACGCCAATACTTAAACCAGTGTCTGATACATAGTAGGCAAACAATAAGTATATCTTGGTTGAATTTATATACTTCCAAGTTGTACAAATGCCACATTCAAAAATTCTGTTTTTCAAAAATTTAGACATAAGATTGAATAAGCTCATTAATGTTAATTTTAAATGAGGGCAGTTAGTCACATATCATACAAAATATCGTAGCCCAAGACAGTTTTTAAATACCATATTTTGGGTCTTTGTCCTTAGTAAACTCACAGAGTACTTTTCTTATAAATAGTAAAAGAGTAGACCTGTCATTCACCATGAGAGCCATGTGCCTATACATTCAAAATTTTAAGACTTCAAAATACAATAGAAGTTTTGCATGCAGTATCTCTATAAAAATCAAATTTGCTTTTATTTTATTTTGACGAAGTGCTGAGCTTAAACAAACAAGGTCTTTCAAATATTTCATTAATTTACTAGTTCATTTAACTTGAGTGAAAATCCTGTGTAATTAGCAGACAATTCCCTCAGCCTGGGCTAGATCGAGGTTATTGAGTCAAGACTATTAGCCAGCGGCTAGCAAACCAATACGAAACCTTTTATGAAAATCCACAAACCTCTAGTCAACAGCATGTACACATTTCATAATCAAACTGAATGCATTATGTTAAGCAAGTCTCAAAGGAAGCTGAGTAGTGCCTGAGATCAGAAAAAAAATCCCATTTTAGAAAAGATATATATGCAGAAAAGCCCACTTTCATAATCATATGTCCAAAATGAAGGAATGAAATCCACATGCTCACCTGGCTAATGGGTTCTTTCGTAGGGGGTTTTCCTCTTCTGGCTGTGCTAGTAGCCAGGGTCGTGGTGGTCTCCATAATTGATGTGGACATCTCTGACTGCATGGCAGTGGCTGTCGACTCAGTTGTCATAGAGGAAGGCACTTCACCAACCAGTCTCACATTTCCCACTATGGCGATGTTGGCATCATTTTCGGCTGCCATATTCAGAACTTTCAAGCCATTGTAGTAAAGCCCAGAGAGCTGGCCCTGGAAGGGCTGGCCCTGCTCTTTCCCGCCAATTATTATGGTTGCTTGGCTATTGAAGATTGTGAGCTGACGCCCTGTAAAAATAATATTACATACATGCAAAAATGTTGATTGTGAACTCTACATCTACAAAGGATGATAAAACAGATCTTTCATGGGGTGGATAATGAGAGCAATAAACTATAAGAGAGGCATTTGACTCATAATTCATTGCTTGTAAATGAGGTGTCCATGAAATGCATAATTATTGGCAAATACTTGTAAATTCTCAAATTATTGTAAATGTAGTGCTTTTGCTAAAAGACCAATCAAAGATATGTATTACAAATCAATTTTTAGTGGATCCCTTTTACCTCAAGATCTTATACTGTTCGTCTCTTAAGTCTCAACTGTTAAATTAAAAAAATGTGAGATAGCTAGCATTTCAAGTATTTGTCATTCTGAAATTATCACTGACAGAAAGTAATCTATAGAAGCTGAAACCTAATTTAAATTTTATGTTAAATATTTCATAATTCACATAATGCCCACATCTATCTATATGCTATTCTTTAGATATGTTAATATTTTGAAGGCAGTAGTCCATTGTTATTTGAATTATTCTATTTTTCCGGCAATCACACTGAAAAGAAATGCATGGTTTACACTGAGCATGTCAGAGACAAAAAAATTCCAAAAATATTTTTCTGATTGGCTTTCAGCAAGTCTATCGAAACAAAACAAAATGAAAAAAAAAAATAGCTTCAGATGTAAAAAGAGGCTTCAAGAATGATACACAAACCGATGGAGAAATTATGGCACATTTCCATCAAACAGCAATCCTTAGCAACAGTACCATTATCATCAAATTGAGTATCCAGTCTTAGCAGATTGCTCTCTGCTCATAAAAAGCATGCACACAACTTTAAGTTCAGTTTTAATTAGGGTTTGTTCCCAAATGCTCTTAGAAGGTTGCAAACGTTAAAGGGACTTCATTTTGACTGGCAATCCATATTGCCCACTATTTAAGATTCCTAGAGTTTAAACAAAGAGTTTTGTTTGTTTGTTTGTTTGTTTTCAGGACCATAATAAAGATATCAGAACTACATATATTTTAGTTAATAATTTAGAGGCTGGAACATGTAATATAATCTATAAATGATTTATCATTTTGGGTTAATGCTTGCTGTGAGTACCTTCATAGATTGAGTTAGTGGATTATATTTAACAGTCCCTTTAACCTTAAGTTAACTGGGTAAGATTATTAAACAGCTGGTACGTCTAAAAATGTATAGAAATTATTATACAAGGTATGCAAATATTACTATCTACATTTTACTGTTTTAAATTTGTTTTTAATTTAGTTTTACGGAAAATTTATTTTTTATGTTTATTAGTGTTACAATGAAGTACTACTTGGTTATGTTCAAATTATTTTTTTATTTGAAGTTTTAATCAATGTTTTTTACCTTTGTCGAGTAGCCATTCATCAACTACTCGACCAAGTCGATATGGAATTCGCTGTCTAGCAATCGCCAGGCGCTCGTTATCATTGTTTCCTTTAAAGTTTAAAGAGACATTTCATTGGTTAAAATCTGTAAGGTCAAAGGTTAAAAGTTAATACTTAAAGCTTGAGCTATACAGTTGCCACATGATTTTGTGAAATTTGGAATTTTAAAAAGTTCTACCTGGAACATTTCATGTTTCAGACTTGTCATTCATTCATTTATTTTATTTTAGCAAACAAAATTATTCCTATGTTAATTGAAAATTAGAAATCTGCATTTGAGCTAGGTTATTAAACTTATGTTATAGACAGACCCAAACAACCAATTTAAACAGCATATAATAGCTTTACAAGAAATGACCATTGACCTTAGGGTTTTGTCTTTTTGATGTTTCTTATTAACTAGTTAAACATGTTCAGGTGAAACAGGTTTAAGTTTTCAAAATACATTCAACCTCTTATTCCAGATTAGTAATTTATGAACAACAAACTTAATACCGTCTTTGGCACACTGAAGCATCTACAATAGGCCTAGCATTCTTTACTTCCTACTCAGAAAACAGAAATTCTTATTTATCTCACTTAAGAAAATCATAGAGTCCAAATAGTTCTTGTGTATTCCACACAAATTGGTTTATCAATCACTTGGACATCACAAGAGAATACATCTTGCATCATCCAAATATGTTATTATAGGAAAAGGCTTTGACAAAAGTGACTTTATTTGAGTGTCCTTGAGTTTCATTTAAAGCTTAACATGTTGAAGTGTATAACATTTGAAAAAGAATTATATAAATGTTTTTCTACACTCAAATATCTGCTTTTTACAAGTTATTCCAAAAAAGGCATGATAGCTTCAAAAACAAATACAAGCCACAAACAGTGGCCTCTATTCGTAGATCTAAACTAAGTGATAGCCTTGTGTCTTTGAATAAAAAATTAATCTGCTAGAAACACTGTTTAAATTGACCTTGAATAATGCTTGCAAATAGATGAGTGTTTTCCCAATTTATAAAGCACTTAGGAAGAATCTGGTCTGCCATTTCAGTGCTCAATTGTCTATATCGCAAGAAGAGTTTTTCTATTTCATGAAAATTAACTAACATGGAATTTTGAGCTAAGGCATTTGACAGTAGCCCAGATGAGAACTCAGAGGTGAAAGAAATGTTGAATAGTAATGCTACCTATATAAAAAGAGTGGAGCATTTTGCTAGGGAAGAAAATAGATATAATTTTTTTTTCTCAGATATAGAATAATTTATAAGTGTTTTCTTATGCTAGTCTTATAATATACTTTACTTACCACAATAAAACAACCATAATATTGGTCACACACTTTTGGAGAAATAGGAAAGAACTATCTTTTAGACTTTATCACTTTGTCATTTGAATGTCTATATGACTGAAAATATTTCACACATTAATATTTAATTTAAAATGTAGATATCAAAGTTGAACTAACTATGAAGTTTAATGAAAACATTTATATGTATTTCTCTGTATTATGCAATCATTAACACACTGTAAAACAGTATTTTATAATGTGGGAATATATTTTTGGTAAACTGATATAATTTTTTTAAAAGGACACATACTAGTATAAAATTCCAACCCTGTCTTTATTTTTTAAAACTGTGCACAATTTGTGTTCTATTCTCTTTGCATATATGTGTATTTGGAAGGATATGCTAAAATTTAATATTGGTTACCTTAGAGCAGTGTGATTATTGATGATCTATGTGTTTTGGGCTTATATGTGATTTATATAATAAATATGTTCTACATTCATAATTTAAAAAGCAAACATGAAATATTACACACACCCTTTGCTCTATGGACTTGTCACCCAATATTCATACCAGTTCACATTGGTATACCTCTCCTGGCAACTTTATGATTAGTTGGTTCCTCATGCTTTTTTTCATGCTGTAGAGTTTCCATCATCAGGAATGACCCATATTCCCTCAGACACCATCCAAATCTAGGTCTCAAATCCCTCTTTTCCAATTACTACTATAGTCAACTAACAGATGTCTGCATCTTCTCTGCAATCAATCCTACCCATTCTCCACGCATCAGCCAATATCTAATCATGCCACTTGTCTAGTATAACCCTTACCATTTGGGATAAAATCTCAGACTTTTAATGAGGCTTCTGAGGATTTCCACAGTCTGGTCCCTTTGTACCTCCCTTGCCCCATCTCACGGCTGTCACTGACCTGCTCTCCTCTTTCTAGCTTCATGAGATATTCCAATTCCTCTAAATGCTTCTTTCTCCTTTCCGGGCCTTTGTACTTGTAGCTTCCTTTGTTTAAAATGCCTCCCTTGCTCCTACTTCATGCCATCTTTCCTTAACCAACCATCACTCATTAATGGAATATTCTTGGCAGGAACCATTACTCCCCCAGGAGGTGTTCCCTGATGTCCTCAAGTTAGGCTAGGACATCTGAATATATGTTTTCCTAGCCCCTGAAACATGCCCTTTAGAAACAAGCATTGACTTTGTAATTGCATATTTAATAAATAGTTTTCCTTTAAATTCTAAAATTCCATGAGGTTAAGTACTATATGTAGTGTTTGCTGTATTTGCAGTGCACAATATCTATCACATATCCTTCTATGAAATACTGTAGAAGTAGTGATGGAAATCTTGTTTTTAGTTCTGATAGCTTCCATGCCACATTAACTCATCCCCACAGCCTAACAACATTCAGAAGAAAAGGGAACAAAATATTGTGTCTGGAGACTAGACCACATGTAGCTAAGCTTCCCTTTGTACTTTCCAAAGGAAACATCATATATTTTAATTATAATTTTACTTCTTTAATAGATTGTCACTTATTTGAACATCCACACAACCAATCAGTTCATTATTTAAAACAAATTCCCCAAAATTTGTAACAAAAAAGGTAATCATAGTTATTATTAGTAGGGGAAAGTTGGAGGGGAAAGTCCTAAATAAGTCAACAGTAACTTGAAGATCCTTGATAAGACTCAGCTAAAATAAAAACATAAACACTGCATTCCCAATGAGTAACAAAGAGGTCACCTAACAACACTGAGGACAAAGAGATTTAGAAAATAGTGTAGGCAGTAGAGACAGTTGTGAAAATATGTGATAATTTATAAGAACAGTAGTCACACAAAGGGGATCATACACTCGCATAACCCTGAATGGCAGATGCCTGATAGTTCAGAGAGCATTATTTTTTTTTTTCACCTGAAAGACTTGATTTTTAAATCAAAGGACAGACTATTTTTTGTAGAATTAGTGGATGGGAAATCAGATGGTGTATCCTTCAATTGAATATATGTCTGCTTTACTCCCTAAATTCTTTGTTCTTGTACTAGAATAAAAAAAAAAAAAACTATATACAAATACATTGTTTTCTATGGAAAAATTATATACACATTGTTAACCAAATGAAGACACATCTAAATAGTGTACAGTGACAATGTCTTTTTAATAAATTATTCCCAAGCCCCTTCTATTACTGGGTATAAAATAGTCCAGACTGTTTAGGTTCACTAGAACTAGGCATACGTTTTGCCTTCACCTCATGATATTCATTGAAAACTTGCACATGGAGAGTGGTAATTGAGGTATATTATTTTATATAATTTCTTAAAATGCATTTTATTTCTTTACAAATTCATGGTGATATTTACTTGTGAAATAACATCCAGTAAGTTTGTGTGATTTTGTTAATTACATTTAATCTTGTACATAGTTCAGTATACATCTAGACATGACATGCAATATAAAGGACATAAAGCAACACATTTGATTGAGAAAGGTCAAAGACATATATATTTTCTGATGACCTTTTCTTTTCGTTGGAAAGGTTCAAGATCTAGTATCAAACGTGCTGGGATAGAGCTCCTGTGGATGGTCAAAAGAAGCAGGCTTGAACTGATAGGCAAGATTAAAAACAAGTGAAATGTATCTGAAAATTCAAATCAAACCAAAGGTGAATCTTTGGAAGAAGACATTTTTATCATCAAATATTCCAAATCAGAAGTAAGGATAAAGCAATAATGACACACTTCTAAAAGATCTATTCATTTTTGTTATCGAAAGGGTCCCAGAAGAATTTCAACTTCTTTTAAAAACATAAAACTACAGCAATCTGCTGTGCACATAGGTTAGGTTTATGAAAACAGAGCTTCTCATTAAATAGTTAAAAGGTAATAATTTAATCTCATACTTTTTTCCCCCTAATAAAAGCAGGATGGGAAATTTCTTTTGGTTTCTTTTCTTTTTCTTCTGGTTAATTTCATGTAGGTTCAGTCTGTGGTATCACCACTGGAAGTGTCACCAATTACATACATGTCTCTGTTGAAGTAAATTTCAAGCAATGAAACTGCATGTGAATTTTTGTTTTATTTTCCTTTGAATTGCTAAAGGATTAAGTATTTTTGACTGGAGCAAAGCCTGCCCTGTAGTAATGCCACCACAACCAATTGAGAGGTGCAAGCTTTAATTAGAGTGGCCACTTAGGTATGAGGTAATGTAATGAATACTTCAAACAAAGTTCCAGGGGTGAAACTAAAAAAAGGAAAATCTGATCATTCATACTTAGAATGTAACACCCTCTATTTTGATTAATTCCAAGATTGTTCTATTTTCCCATCTGCGTAGACTGAATATTTGTATCCCCTCAAAACTCACATGTTGAAACCTAATTCCCAATGTGATGGTATTTGTAGGTGGGGCCTATGGGAGGTGGTTAGGTCATGAGAATGGAATTAGTGCCTTTATAAAAGAGACCCTGGAGAGCTCCCTTGCCCCTTTCTGCCATGTGAGGACACAGTGAGAAAGAAGATGGCTGTCTATGAACCAGAAAGCAAGTCCTCACCAGACACCAAATCTGCCAGCACCTTAATCTTGGATTTCCCAGTCTTCTAAACTGTAGAAATACATTTCTCTTGTTTATAAGTCACCCAGTTTATGGCATTTGTTATAGCAGCCCAAATGGACTAACACACCATCTAACCAACAGCATTCGGTCACATTTTAGTATAACGATTCTATATGAACCAGTAGACTTC